CATAGGAGGCGGGCAATACCCCCACTTTGTGGGGGGGCCGGTTCAAGCTCTACCAAATTTCCAAACGACTCTTCGCCACCACCCACACCCAGCTTCCCGCCCTATGACGTTCGGACACTTCACTTCGTGGCATGCGGACGACCGTGGCTACTATTCAGGGCCCCGCGGCCGACGACGACGGCGTGCGCGCGCGAAGAAAAAACGAATGTGTCCCGCATGGTATTATTTGACAGGGATGATGGCCCTGGCAGGTGCGCAACCGTTGTTGCAGAAGTTCGAAAAAGTTGCTCGCAAAAGCCCGTTTGACAGAAATGTTTAAAAAGTGTTGGGTTTCCTACGAATCCGCAAGAGCGCGCGGGATGAGATTTTGACAATTTTTTGTTGAAAAACCATTGGTTTTTTGATGTTTTTATGTTAAAATCGCTGCGAACACTAAGGTTTTGGAAGGATTTCGTCTTGCGCGCGCGAATGTCCACTTTACCTTATTTTTTGCAAGGGATTCTTGAAATTTGATTATATTAGAACAAGAAATGTCATTTTCTATTGTTTTTTGCAAGGGAAAGCGGATTACAACAAAACAACCGGATCTTGATGACATCGTATTACCTGAGGCTTCCTCACGAAAATGATGAAAATGTAGCTGCGGCCTAGGCGGCGCAGGGGGGCCGTGCACCAGGGGTCCCAACAATAATTATTCTTTAGAATTAATAATGTTCAACGACGACGACGACGACGACGACGACGACGACGACGACGACGCGGGACGGCCAGTGAGCCTCCCGTCCACGTCGTCGCCCCAGGGGCCGCGCACCGCAACGACGCCTTTGACAAGAATGAGGATCCTGGTGTATACGGGATCCTGGTGTATGCATTCTTCGCTGTTTCCCTGGGAAAACGGGGAAACAATATACACGACACCATCCCGACATCGTCCCCGACCCTCAAAAAAGTCCTGGGATTCAAAAACCGCCCGCCACTGGTGTATATGCTCCAGTTTCCGACCATACCCGCCAAAAATACCCAAGACATACAACGAAGCTCCAACCGCCAGAACACCTTGCGAGACCTTGCAAGGCTCCCTCGTCCTCCTCGCCTCCAACCCAGCATAAGTCTCTGGAGGTCTCCGAGGGTATCCAGGCGTGGCCCATGCATGGAGGCCTCTGGACGCTAAGAAAGGACCGAAACGCTCAATAACCTGAATCGTACAGTCACGACGTGGAAAGGGGGATTGTGCATGGTTGATCCCGTGATCTTGCCTTCTGCAGCGCACGGCAGAGCGAGCGCGAAACCTGAGGGGGAGGAGGGCGACAACGACGGCAAGGGAGGGACGAATAAAGTCGTGCGCACGCTAGTTGCTGACATGGGTTACGGACCCGTGAATATGTCGCGAGGGGGGGGCAGATCCGCAGATCGGGGAAAGCGTCTCCCGAAACTCGGGGCCAGGGCCACCCGACAGGGCGACGGGGCGAGCCGACTCGGTCTGGACACGGGACCCGTCGCTGGTCCCCTCGCCCTCGTCCAGGTTCGCGCTCTTCTCGAGCAAGAGGGGGGAAGGACGAGGAGGGAGGAGGGGGGGAGCATCGGCCCGCGGCACGGCGGCAGACGATGAGCGCGGCAGCGCCGCCGGATGCGCCCCTCGTTCAGCCACTGGACGGCCTGCGCCGTCGACGTCGTGTCCTCTCTCCTGGCGGGAGTGCGAAGGCCGCCCGCCTGCACCGACCCCTGCCAGGCCTCTCGGGGGGACCTTTCCAGGGTGGGCGTGGCGCTCCCCGCGCAATCACATACGAGTTTGGACGCTTTCTGCCCTCTCTGGGAGTATGACGACATCTGGAGGCATCTGGGAGCCTCCGTTGACAACAAGCTCGGGGATCGACTGTCTGCAGCGGGGCGAGAGGGGAGGTCGGATCGCGCCAGGGGTGCAGGAGGCCTGCAGCCTTGCCCCGAGATGGGTCTGAAGTGGCCACGGCGCTTCCCAAGAAAGCACTCGAGATGCCAAGTGCATGAAAAAACTCAAAACTCAGTGGGCCATAGGTTTCGCACCGTAGATTGCGCAGAGCTCTTGCGGTCCACCAGATTGCTTAATCAGTTCCTGCTTGGTCTGCATCCCACAGCTTGCGCCAAAAGGTGCGCGCCATCGATTGCGCCAGACCACCCCCGCTGGCCACTGAATCGTTCATGTGTTAATGTCCTGGTCTGTCCAAACTCCATCGGTTGCGCCGTACGTTGCGCGCAATGAGGTTCGCCAGGACCCTCGCGGGCCACCGGATTGCGACTTCCCTGGTCTGCCTACAGCGCATAGGTTGCGCCAGAGGTGACTCACCGCAGGTCGCGCCAGGCCCCCCACAAGTCAACGAATCGCGATGTTTCTGGTCTGTGCGTAGGTTGCGCAATAGATTGCGATGCCATGAATGCGCCAGACACCCCGCGGGCCAACGAATCGCGATGTCCCTGGTCTGTCTACACTCCATTAGCTGCACCATATGTTGCGCACCATCAATTA